CCAGCAACCAGAGCAGCTGCAACGTGCACAACCACCACCTGTCCGCCACAGTCACCTTCTCCCTCTTCTACACCGCCCTGCTGGTGTTCGGCGCCTGTGGGAACATCCTGGCCCTCTGCATCACTTTCCAGCGCAGGAAGAAGAAACTCAACTCCACCGACCTCTACCTGGTGAACCTGGCCCTCTCCGATGCCCTCTTCACCCTGGCACTGCCGGGCAGGATCGCCTACTACATCCTGGAGTTTGACTGGCCCTTTGGGGACTGGTTCTGCCGGGCCACAGCCTTCATTTTCTACATGAACACCTATGTGGGCATTTACTTCATGACCTGCGTAAGTGTGGACCGCTACATCGCCGTGGTGCGCACCAAGCATCCCGGTAGGATCCGGAAGATGAGCCGCGCCAGGGGCGTCTGCGTCCTCATCTGGTCCTTGGTGTTCCTGCAGACTGTGCCGCTGCTCCTGCGGCCCATGACGCGGAGGATGGGGGAGAAGCTGACATGCATGGAGTACTTCAACTTCGAGGAAATTCCCAAGCTGCCCTACCTGCTCCTGGGGGCCTGCGTGCTTGGCTTCTTCCTGCCCGTGGGCATCATCTTGGTGTGCTACGTGAGGATCAACCTCAAGCTCTGCCAGACGGCCAAGGAGAACCCACTGACTGTGAAGAACGGGCACCACCGCCGGGCCTTCACCGTCCTCCTGGTGGTAAGCGGGGCCCCCCGCCGGGCCTTCACCGTCATCCTGGTGGTGCTGCTGGCCGTCCTGCTCTGCTTCAGCCCTTACCATCTCAACATCGTCCAGTTCATGGTCAGGAAGATCCTCTACCAGCCATCTTGCCACGAGCAGCAAGCCTTCAAGATGTCTCTGCAAGTCACTGTGGCGTTCATGAACCTCAACTGCTGCATTGACCCCATCATCTACTTCTTCGCCTTCCGGGGCTACAAGCGGAGGCTTCTTCGCATCTTCAGGAACAGTGGCTCGATGGCCCCCTCCTCCACTGCCAAGACCCCCTCCGAGAGCAACAGCAACAGCCAGCCCCCTGGCTCCGTCTCTGTCTAGCAGCACAACGCCCTCCCTTTCACTCTGGCCTGCAGCTTATGGACCATCCCTGACGGCAGGAGCCGGAGCTGGGCTGCAGAACAGGACCAGCACCTCCAACAGACTTCACCGCTCCCCTGCCTGGAGCCAGGGGCTTTTGCAAAGCCAGCCCAGATGGGAGATGGCCCTGCCTGGCTCCACACACCTGGCTCTGTGCTCAGCACTGCTGGACTCGCTGTCCTGGGACATGGAGAGGCCTGTTTTCATCCCAACCCCAGAAGAGGCATATCGTGCAACTGCTCTGGCTGGCAAACACAAGCCGGGGGTTTCCCAGCACTGCGCTGCGCCATCCTCCCACACCTGTCCCGCATCCCCTGCGGGGCCGGTGGCTGCTGCTAACCACAATGGCTGGCCCCGCCTCTCTGCCCCCTTCCCCTGCCATGGCCCTCGGGCGCCGGGGCCGCACGGGGCAGCCGGCATGGAGCACATGGACTCAGGGCATTTCAGGAAAAGGCTGGGATGTTACTTCCACACAGAAAGTCACCTACAGCTCCTTCCCTGCACTGACAAACAGCAGCTCGTGCACACAGGCACTGCACGGGGCAAGCAGTTAAGTGTGGGGTCCATGGGAGCTGCCAGAAAAGCCCTTCCTCAAGGGAGAGGGGCGAGGATGTGAATTTGCAGAGCTCCTGGGAGTGCTGCTGCCTCCATCTGCCGCTTGGGCAGCTGCTCCTTCCCCAGGGTGCTCTTCCTCGCAGCTGCCGGCGCTGTGGTTGCCCTGGGACCCGCCGCCAGGAAGGGGATACCGGGGCTGGCCTAGCTCACAGCTCGGCTATAAGGCTGCAAACCCACCCTAGGGGCACTTGCCAGGGAAACCTTCCCACCCCTCCTTAACTTGAAGGGAGTGGAGGAAAGGGGACAAGGGGACAAGGACTGAGGGTGGCCTTACGTGACCTTGACTGACCTTTGCTCGAACTCGGCGCCCTGAGGAGTCCGAGAGCCTTGCTGAGGGCAGGTTACATGTGACTATTGCCAAAGCGAGAGGAGGAGCCCCAAGATGTTGGGTTCCTGTCGATGTTTGAGCCTGTGCGACGAGGAGAAAGCCAGCAGGAGCAGGGACCTCCTTGGCTCTTTTCTGAAGTCACTCGACAATGATAAAAAACCCACACGTAGGATTTCACAGTTCCTGGGATGGCTGGTCTTCTGTTTGAGGTTGGAAGGGACAGAGGCATGCACAGAGACATGAAGAGGAAAGAAAAAGTAGCGCAATTTTTGCTGAAAAGTAAATCTGAAGAAGTTTTAATCAATGGACACTTTTGATTAATACAAAACATTCTTCAAGGTAATAACCTTTCTTTATGGCTAGAAAGTTAATAATAGTCATGGGGAGCCCTTTATTGTTTTAAATGCGCATGAATGAGCTTTTGGATGACGATGGTTTTACTTATGGTAACTGTAGCATCCTGAAGGCTGACTAAGAGGGATGCCTAAAATAATTCCGGTGGGAAAGGAACTCCCGTAGGTCCTTTCAGGAGGCTATCTGAGCCCTCCTCAAAGCAGGTCTAACCTCAGTGCTGGCCTGCAGAGAGCCTGCGTCCTAAAAAGCATGTTACAATAGACAAGGAAGAGCTGGTATGCAATAATACAAGGATATCAACGGTCTGAACACCCTAAAGGAGCCTGGCTAGGCTGGTAGTTGCTGTACAGTTATGCTGCTCTATTAACTTGTCAAAGAAGTGTTGGCTGGAAGGGACCTCTCTGCATCACGTCAGCCAACAGCCTACTCAAAGCAGGACCACGGCTGGCACCATGTCAGGCTGGTCATGGCTTCGTCTAGCCAAGGCTTGGAAACTGCAGACAAGGAGAGTCCCCCTGCCGAGATGACAGCTCCCGTGCCGCATCGCCCTCCGGACAAAAACTTTTTCCCCACTGTCCAGTCTGAACCTCCCCGTCCATGGCTGGTGGCTGTCATCCCTAACATCACTGCCTCGTTCTAAGAAGAGCTTGGCTCTCTCATCTTTGTAACTCGAATTCCCATATGGCTGTGGTGCAGGCTGCCAGGAGAACGACGGTACGTAGCTATTCGTCTCAGTGAGCCTCCGCATGAACAGCGGAGCACAGCTGTGTGGTGGTGGCCAACTCTCCTCCTCAAGACCAAGGCACAGGGATGCTTTGCCAGGCTGCAACCTACTCAGGAGTATAAACATAGACTCATTTGCTCCTTCTTGGGCTCTCTTTTTCTCCAAAGTATTTTATTAACAAAAGTATCCCCACCTTTCATCCTCTTGCCACCAGTAAGAGAAGGAAACAGGTGAACAGTTGCGTGTAGTGAGGCAAAATGGCATGGCGCAGGAGGGATCCGGCCTCCCTCCTCCGGGCTGAGGTCAGGCTGGGGCTGTCTGCTTTTGGAAACACGCACCTGGGGACAGGAGGCAGTGAGCTGGAGCCGAGGGGACACCCAAGGGACGGAGAGGGAAGGGGCCTGGGCAGAACTGGTCAGAAGGAGCCTGGGCAAAGGAGAATTGCCTAAGGAATCCCGTACGGCCGAACCAGCTCACCCACCTGGGGGTGTTCCCTGGCTGCTTGAAAACGGAACATTTCACTAAAACTGAAGAGAAATCCTAAAGAGTCTTTTGTCTAGAGGCACAATAACACTTTTTCTACACTTCATTCATCTGCCTGATCCGACCTCCTTTTTAACCAGCAGGCACGCCAGCGGAGCAGCCAACTCCC